GGGTATCGATCAGTCACTATATGTCCGGAACAAGGAAATAGCAGTTAGTTACGTGGCAGCAGAATTAGAAGAGAGCTTGAATATATCCTTAACCACTGAGAGTTGTGTCAGATGATAATTAAATTTTTAACCTTTCTCTTAACTTATGTTTTTACATAATTTTCACAGAGACAAAATTTAGATTTTGTGTTGATAGATTTCTATACCCACAAATGATAAATATAAATAGACATTACCTCATAACCTGTCTTTGTTATAACTTAAAGTGTCGAGGTCAAAATAAGTTGTGTGAGTGATAGAGATTCTTGTATTGTGTTTGTCCTATAATCAAAAGAAGCGGGCGATAACAGACAGTGAATTTACATTTTGGTGTTTAATATAGGCAATGCAAGATGACTTTTCCAAAAATGTACTAATTAGGTATAACAAACTTTAATCCTCAATCCGCTGACAGCAGTGGAGTCGTCATTGTACAACAATCATGATAGAACATATTGGTTACAGGTCGATCTGTTTATATAGGGAATCATGATAGAACATATTGGTCACAGGTCGATCTGTTTATATAGGAAATCATGATAGATCATATTGGTTACAGGTCGATCTGTTTATATAGGGAATCATGATAGAACATATTGGTTACAGGTCGACCTGTTTAAATATGAAATCATGATAGAACATATTGGTTACAGGTCGATCTGTTTATATAGGGAATCATGATAGAACATATTGGTTACAGGTCGATCTGTTTATATAGGATATCATGATAGATCATATTGGTTACAGGTCGATCTGTTTATATAGGGAATCATGATAGAACATATTGGTTACAGGTCGATCTGTTTATATAGGATATCATGATAGATCATATTGGTTACAGGTCGATCTGTTTATATAGGGAATCATGATAGAACATATTGGTTACAGGTCGATCTGTTTATATAGGGAATCATGAACATATTGGTTACAGGTCGATCTGTTTATATAGGGAATCATGATAGAACATATTGGTTACAGGTCGATCTGTTTATATAGGGAATCATGATAGAACATATTGGTTACAGGTCGATCTGTTTATATAGGGAATCATGATAGAACATATTGGTTACAGGTCGACCTGTTTATATAGGGAATCATGATAGAACATATTGGTTACAGGTCGATCTGTTTATATAGGGAATCATGAACATATTGGTTACAGGTCGACCTGTTCATATAGGGAATCATAATAGAACATATTGGTTACAGGTCGACCTGTTCATATAGGGAATCATGAACATATTGGTTACAGGTCGATCTGTTTATATAGGGAATCATGATAGAACATATTGGTTACAGGTCGATCTGTTTATATAGGGAATCATGATAGAACATATTGGTTACAGGTCGACCTGTTTATATAGGGAATCATGATAGAACATATTGGTTACAGGTCGACCTGTTCATATAGGGAATCATGATAGAACATATTGGTTACAGGTCGATCTGTTTATATAGGGAATCATGAACATATTGGTTACAGGTCGACCTGTTTATATAGGGATAGAACATATTGGTTACAGGTCGATCTGTTTATATAGGGAATCATGATAGAACATATTGGTTACAGGTCGATCTGTTTATATAGGGAATCATGATAGAACATATTGGTTACAGGTCGACCTGTTTATATAAGGAATCATGATAGAACATATTGGTTACAGGTCGACCTGTTTATATAGGGAATCATGATAGATCATATTGGTTACAGGTCGATCTGTTTATATAGGGAATCATGATAGAACATATTGGTTACAGGTCGACCTGTTTATATAGGGAATCATGATAGAACATATTGGTTACAGGTCGACCTGTTTATATAGGATATCATGATAGAACATATTGGTTACAGGTCGATCTGTTTATATAGGATATCATGATAGAACATATTGGTTACAGGTCGACCTGTTTATATAGGATATCATGATAGAACATATTGGTTACAGGTCGATCTGTTTATATAGGATATCATGATAGAACATATTGGTTACAGGTCGATCTGTTTATATAGGGAATCATGATAGAACATATTGGTTACAGGTCGACCTGTTTATATAGGGAATCATGAACATACTGGTTAATCTAAATAAATTAGACGTTCTATCGCCCTTTATTTCGATCGACTCCCGACCAATACAAGAAGTCGATAAAACACCAGTTTGATTCCGATTTTACACTGGTTAGCTGCTGTGTATAATGATTCGATATTTACACTGGATGTCAGTACACAAGATATAGGTTCCTTTTTATTTACATTTACGTACGTAAATATACCTGTGTACAGAAGGTGATTTTAATTACATATATTTCTTGTTGTTACAGAGATGTGTCTGCATGCATGTAAAACATGACTTACGACGAGGAACATAATGTATACTACTGACAGACATATTGAGCTTGAACAAACCAAGATATACATAAAACGCCTTGTAACATTTAACACGTCTCCCAGTGTAATAGTTGTCTGAGTTAAATCCACAGTCTCCCGAACCTTTGTCAGTTACGTATAGAGAAACACTTCATTTGTAAAGGGTACTTATTTAGTTAAGATGATTATGCATTCAGTTAATCGCCTGGCGATGCATGTTACCAATACGTGACGTGTGAGTGAGACGTCTGGTACGGGATAGGCCAAACCATACAGCCTGTCTTACTTGTTTGGGTACATGTTTACATGTTGTATGAGTTTATTGATATTCTATAGAGACCCGTGTAAACGGCCTTGCCTTTTCTTATGTTTCAGGATATATAGAAAGTACCAGTGTTATACAGATAATTCAACATATTTATAAGCCTCGCACTCAATCCATTCGTTCATCAATACTTGTTAAAATACTATTTTCGAAGAAATGAAATGAATGACTCAAAATGTATAAGGGCTTAGTACCGATCTTTTAGGTACACCTGATGTTATCAGATTTCAGTTAGAAAAGCACACATATGTCATATAATGAATTAAAACTACACTTGTTTCTAGGATTCGCCTCGTCTGTGATGACAGGATCCTCGTGTATGGAAATTAAGATTACAGTCGACATATTGTTAACAAATAAAAGAGAAAGAACATAAACCCTATCAAGCAACAAATTATTCCGTGATTTTAATCATAAATCTTAAGCTTAATACAAAAAGTGATATTCAAACCAGTGGTGTGGAAACCGTCATCCTTATGATCCTAAAAACATTCATTAGACCTGAAGTTTTGTTAATTAAATAACGTATAAATAGACACAAAGAAAGAAGTATTTATAAATATATTAGAAATCCTACATGATCACATCCATCACCGTGACAACAGCGTCATCAATCCTTGTTAGGAATCCTAACTAATTCAGGGCGGCCAGTCAGCTGTGAGGTAGATGTTAGTGCGAGTAGATATCAACCCAGGATGATCTTGTGAATTGGATTTGTCTTATGTCTACTTATCCGTCAGCTGATTATAGATTTGTGTCTATATAGTCAGGAAGTCAGGCAGAGGTTTCATCTTTTCTAAAAATGTCATATGATTCACCATAAAGTTGCCTTTTTAGATCTAAAACAACAAGACTGATTTGTTGTAGATGCTGTCTACGTGGTATAGTTAGATTGACGTGTAAGTAAGTAACTAAGTATTGAACCTAGTAACACCTATGTACATAGTGATGTCTGTTTCACCAGAAAGAATTATGACATGTTACTGAGTAAACACGGTCACTAACAGGAAAGTTCCGCGCGGAATTTGAAATTCGCTCTGTATCCGCTAAAAAGATATATCTAAATCCATGAACATCCTTGGCAGCGTTTTGGATATTTACTTTATTTCTACTTCCTAAATAACATTTTCTTTCCAGATGCATCACTTTGGGACTCTCTGCTCTATGCTTTATTGTTGGGCGTTTATCGAAGGTATTGGGTTCTATCGTACGGCTCTTAACGTAACGTTCAGCTTTACGTCAGCTGGTGGTCAGTCCACTCTAGGTACACGTTTGCACCCGTTGACCCCGACTTTTGCTGAAGGCCAGGTTTCACATTGTTTTGGTACGTTCTAATTCCGTCCGACTTTAGCTGAAGGCCAGGTTTCACATTGTTTTGGTACGCCCTAATTTCGCCCGACTTTTGCTGAAGGCCAGGTTTCACATTGTTTTGGTAAGCCCTAATTTCGCCCGACTTTTGCTGAAGGCCAGGTTTCACATTGTTTGGTACGTTCTAATTCCGCCCGACTTTAGCTGAAGGCCAGGTTTCACATTGTTTTGGTCCGCCCTAATTTCGCCCGACTTTAGCTGAAGGCCAGGTTTCACATTGTTTTGGTACGCCCTAATTTCGCCCGACTTTAGCTGTAGGAGAGACTTCACTCTTTTTGGGCACGCTCTAATCTCGCCTCGAATTTTGCTGTAGGCCAGGTTTTCACTCTGACGTTTTTAGTGTGTCCTTTTTTCACCCTGACTTTTGTGGAATATCCAAGTCTTAACCTGACCTTTGTTACACATAGTAATTTCACTCGAACCTTTGCTATGAATCCTAACTTCAGAATGACCTTGTTCGTCGTCAGTATTTCCCTACTAATTTGACCTTCGTCACCCATACTATCTTCCCTCCCAAACATAATGATACATTACGACTACATTAATCCAATTACAGAGCGTTAGACACGCTGATCAAAATAACAGCCTACTTCAGACACGGCTGTATTACCTGGCAGTATCGATTCCTGCTACAAGAAACATTTGAAATCATTTCAAGTGACAGTCGTTAGTTTAGTAGGTCATTTAGCATGATGTTATGTTACAACAATCGGTAACACGAGAACCTCAAGTTAAATTCACTTTTGATTATGTTATATGTAATGGGGTATTAAATGCCTACATTTCCCGCCATTTCATTAAGCTGATCATACATAAAATATAGCTGTGTTACTATATAGTCACCTTCATTAAATGTTAACGCCCCCGGTGTTTGTGACACATAACAATCTGACACGCATGTTTGATGCGAGATCGTTTAATTCAGGCAGTAAAAAGTCATTAAAACACAATCATCCACATGTCTTTGATGATCATGTCTGTGGCACCTGTGTCTTTTCAAAGATTGGATTTTTAAATTGTTTATCTAAATCAGCACTCATCCTTTCCAATGACAAATGGGTGAAACGTTCCTGTTCGTGAGATACAAAACCACACAGTCACTTTCCACTTTATAGAGTTATATATCACGAATCAGATACACAGTAGAGTAAGTGTTGGCCACTTCAGATTTTCCTGTCAATTTCTTCAGATATGTTCGGCATTCTAACCACAAAACAAGGAATCTGAATTGTAAACATATTAGAAATGTCCGACTTCACCACATCTGTTCGTGTCAAAATGTTTTCTTTACGCCGAAAGATCGCCGAGGTCAACATCGGAAGCTAAGCTACTTTATAGTAAACAATGAACGACAACTTTAACATATACATTGCACCATTTGTAAGCAATAAGATATTATATGGAAGGAATATTTGAAATCCACATTTTGTGACCTTGTGTCAATAGACGTTCTCCATCCATCACGTTTGTCGTTAATGGTACCACTTGTCCCTACAGTCGGCCAGCATTACAACACACTGATGGTTCATCTCAGAACTTGTCACACACATCAACAGTTACACTTTTGGATATGGCTAACTAATTTAGCTTAAATTGTTTTTCCGGCTTTGAATTGATGAGTTGGCATTAAAAGCAGAGAATATACGACATCTTGTTTCTATAACCGTTTAACGATTCCGTGTTTTAATTGATAGTCAAGTACGTCATAGCTTTTTATATCTGACATCAGTCCTATACACATCTATGTATCTCTATATCTGGTACATGACATGTGACACCTGTCCCATACACATCTATGTATCTCTATAACTGGTATATGACCTGTGACACCTGTCCTATACACAGCTATGTATCTCTATAACTGGTATATGACCTGTGACACCTGTCCTATACACAGCTATGTATCTCTATATCTGGTACATGACATATGATACCTGTCCTATACACATCTATGTATCTCTATAACTGGTATATGACCTGTGACACCTGTCCTATACACATCTATGTCTCTATAACTGGTATATGACCTGTGACACCTGTCCTATACACATATATGTCTCTATATCTGGTACATGACATGTGACACCTGTCCTATACATATCTATGTCTCTCTATATCTGGTACATGACATGTGACACGTGTCCTATACACATCTATGTCTCTATATCTGGTACATGACATGTGACACCTGTCCTATACACATATATGTCTCTCTATATCTTGATATATGACATGTGACACCTGTCCTATACACATATATGTCTCTCTTTATCTTGATATATGACCCGTGACACCTGTCCTATACATATCTATGTCTCTCTATATCTGGTATATGACCCGTGACACCTGTCCTATACATATCTATGTCTCTCTATATCTTGATATATGACCCGTGACACCTGTCCTATACATATCTATGTCTCTCTATATCTTGATATATGACCCGTGACACCTGTCCTATACATATCTATGTCTCTCTATATCTGGTATATCAATATGCCCAGTATCATAAACCTATAACAAGCCATGCCTCTCTATTCTTGATATTAGAAAATGTCCCGTGACACCAGTCCTATACCCATCTATGACTCTCTATACCTGGTATAAGGATGTCTCCGTTCGGAAGATCACCGTTGAACATATCCTTATTCATATGTCCATTACTTAATCCGTGATAACTATTTGTTATGTCTCCGTTCACAAGATTCACATCCTGTATCACATCTTCATCGTCCTCCATTTTATCTCTGTTAAATCTCGGTAGGAAAATTTGTGAGGCGCCAGGCCCATCATTATCATATGAACTCGTGTTTACGGGGTTTGGTGATGATTGTCTGTCCAATTTCCGTTTCTGAATTCGTTTTGTTGTGAATGTCCGGGCAGTGAACTCCATGCTAGTTCGGTACCATTTCCGGCACTCGTCTATATGGTAGTCAACACAAGATGCAAATACCTTGCAAGGACGTTTGGGGTATATCACCAATGTCTCCGAGAAAAACCTTGGTTTCACTTTCGGTTCATAATATGTGTGGCTCACAAATCGCTTCTTCGTGCAATTGCTAAACAGAATGATAGTATCTTTGTGGTGAACAGGTTGAAGAGTGGGCTCCATTCGTACTTCCCCGTGGTACCTCTTCATACTGTCGTAATTCACAGCACTGATGTCGTACTTCTCCTCAAAGTTAGGCAGCTTCACCACAGCTAATGTTTCTTCCACGTGGTCAGGCGTCAACCTCATGATGCTAAGGTAGATAGATGTATGGGGATGCCCTTATTTGATCCTGGTGCAGTTGTATTTCATGTACAGCAGCGGTATGCGGCACGTTTGCCCCCTCGGGCGTTAGAATGACAATACAATGACAGTAGTAAGTTCTTTATCTATATCGCCGCGCTCTCAGGTGTGTAACACAGTCCTACAGACCAGGTCAACTTTCCCTTAATACAATATCCCGCTTTTCTGTCGCTGTCTCACTACTCTCCAACGAGCTACTTCAGTCACTGCGAGAAGAGTCCCGTGTAACTACACGCTTAAGGTAAAGTACAGATGGTGTGTTATTCGAGATCGCACATGTGCTAGAACTTGAAAACGATAATAAATGTCTGCAGTGAGAAAAAACAAAACAATTCCTAGTCTAGGACGTTAGTTACACTTCCACAAGTTTGAACGGGCCCGTAAAACAACCTTCAGTCCGGAATGTGCAAATCAAATGGCGGTTATATACAATGCAGGTATTCTATTCAGGCCTCTATCGATCGTTACCGCCCGATCGCTCACAGAACACTGGTTTACACTCAGTTGTATCTCTAACCTACCCGCCACAGCTGTACCACCTTACCTGTCGGATGGAAATTAATAATTCATTGAACGACATCCTGGGTTTTATTTGGAGTTTTAATCTGATGATTGGCTTTGTATTATACTCCTACAGCGAGACTGAGGTCTTTAACGTGTATCCGTCTCCCATTTCACCATTTCACAGGTAATGTGTATAACACAGGGAAGACTTCAAGGTCTTTTAAAACCTCACTTACCTGTGGGTTTCCCCAGGTAATAACGACTATAAACAAACCTGGGACATGACGTTGGTACGCTACACACTGTTAAGATGTAATTCACTTCGTGTGGTAATTGGTAATTGCTAATAAAACCAGTCCATGAGGAATTTATTAAAGCGCGAGGCAATGACATAATTCTTCTCGGATTTAATCGATGGAAAAAGAAATCAAACAGATTTGTCTAGCCTAGATCACACAGAGTAAAGTGGATTCCGTGTTTGTCTAAAAGAAACTCACGATAACGGTGGTATTGTACTGACATTTCCCATACCAAATCACTCTCATTTAAAGCATTTAAGGTTCAAAGTGCACCAGACACACAAGTCAGTAGTTTATTTCAAAATTTAGAAAATATAGACATTACATACCTAAGATAAATCAAACTGTGTCCTGCAGATAAGATTAATTAGATAAAACAGTACAGTAGATACTCGTTAACTCGAAATTCAAGGGAACGTGGGGAATATTTCGACTTATCCGAATTTTGACTCAAACTAAATGTCCAAGTAAGGTTGATGATAGAAGTTTCCTGGCGTTGATAACGGTATAACGAAGTAGGGCTACGATAGCATGGTACACCCCGGTACAAACGGCATAATTTAATCTCTTATTGAAAATGGCATTAAATAAACAAGTATATCTATTTCAACTTTCTCCGTTTATTGTTTATTCATCCAAACAACAAAACATGTAATAACAACCCCAATCAAGTACCTCTGTGCTCACGTCGTTCCGTCCCGTACACGTGTACAATACCTTTACTGACCAAGCACATATACATCATATGTTTTACGGAATGACAATAAAACGAAAATAAACTTGGCTTTTGATACGCTACAAGAAACAATGTATGGAGTTACAGATAATATAAAAATGACTTTATAATGAATAAATAAACATATGAAACACGCGGCACTGAAATGTTTTTACCTGTTACAGAAAACATATAAACATTAGACTTAACCAATCACGCACAGATATAGACTCTATCAATGAAAAATATTTTCACCTCCTCATTGTCCAAGCTCTAAATCTAGCAAAGTGTCTGATCACAGTCCTTTAGAAAACAAGCTCAAAAATGAGTTTCTCTCGGAACTGTGGGGATCAGACTTTGTCAAAAAGTTCGTGCTGGTTTTTACGGTTTCATTTTGATCGTTCCTGAAGATGCACGCAACCAAGCAAATTGATTTCGCCTCGTGTGTATGCGCTTCTTGCTTTTCGCATGACTGTGTGTATGTATTAACCTATTTCGTCAGAATTTCGAGACAACGAATGACAATTCCCTTGCTTTGCAATTGAAGGGACTGAAAAATCACGTCGACTCAAACGAGATTTCGACTCAATGAAATTCGAGTGATCTGAACTAAAGATATACACGTATAAGGGGAAAATGGGGACTTGGAAGTTATTTCGACACAATGGAATTTCGACTCAAGCGTTTTCAAGACAACGAGTTTCAACTGTATCTTCATTTCCACACAGCTGTACAAGTCCCGGAAATTCTGTGAGTTAGGAAAACTCATCCTAGAATATAATTAGGGAGGTACGTGGAGACAAAAATTCTGTGAGTTAGGAAAACTCATCCTAGAATATAATTAGGGAGGTACGTGGAGACAAAAATTCTGTGAGTTAGGAAAACTCATCCCAGAACACCATTAGGGAGGTACTTGGAGACAAAATTTCAACAAATTTCATATTTTGATACATTTTCGGATATAGGATTATGATCATGATGTTTCCTCCCAATAAATTCCGACAATTCTGATAAATAAGATACACTGTCTGCTGCTATTATAACTACCAGGTCATAGATAAGTTAATACAGTCAGACGTGGCAATGAATTAATACGGATATGTGCTATGTCACGTGGTAACTAACAATAGATCTATCGATACATTAATACATTGGTATCAATTAGAGAATACCGCTATATCGTCAAAGTGTCCGGGAATAGGATATAGTTAAGTATATGATGTAGACATTTATAGGATGTAGACAGTTATATGATAGGATGTAGACAGTAATATGATGTAGACAGTTATATGATGTAGACAGTTATATGATGTAGACAGTTATATGATAGGATGTAGACAGTTATATGATAGAATGTAAACAGTTATAGGATGTAGACAATTATATGATAGGATGTAGACAGTTATATGATAGGATGTAAACAGTTATAGGATGTAGACAGTTATATGATGTAGACAATTATATGATAGGATGTAGACAGTTATATGATAGGATGTAAACAGTTATAGGATGTAGACAATTATATGATAGAATGTAAACAGTTATAGGATGTAGACAGTTATATGATGTAGACAGTTATAGGATGTAGACAGTTATAGGATGTAGACAGTTATATGATAGGATGTAGACAGTTATATGATAGAATGTAAACAGTTATAGGATGTAGACAATTATATGATAGGATGTAGACAGTTATATGATGTAGACAGTTATATGATGTAGGCAGTTATATGATAGGATGTAGACAGTTATATGATGTAGACAGTTATATGATAGGATGTAGACAGTTATAGGATGTAGACAGTTATATGATAGGATGTAGACAGTTATATGATGTAAACAGTTATATGATGTAGACAGTTATATGATAGGATGTAGACAGTTATATGATGTAGGCCGTTATATGATAGGATGTAGACAGTTATATGATGTAAACAGTTATAGGATGTAGACAGTTATATGATAGGATGCAGACAGTTATATGATGTAAACAGTTATATGATGTAGACAGTTATATGATAGGATGTAGACAGTTATATGAAGTAGACAGTTATATGATATGATGTAGACAGTTATATGATATGATGTAGACAGTTATATGATGTATACAGTAATATGATAGGATGTAGACAGTTATATGATAGAATGTTGACAGTTATATGATGTAAACAGTTATAGGATGTAGACAGTAATATGATGTAGACAGTTATATGATGTAGACAGTTATATGATAGGATGTAGACAGTTATATGATGTAGACAGTTATATGATGTAGACAGTTATATGATAGGATGTTGACAGTTATTTGATAGGATGTAGACAGTTATAGGATGTAGACAGTTATATGATAGGGTGTAGACAGTTATTTGATAGGATGTAGACAGTTATATGATATGATATAGACAGTTATATGATAGGATGTAGACAGTTATATGATAGAATGTTGACAGTTATATGATGTAAACAGTTATAGGATGTAGACAGTTATATGATAGGATGTAGACAGTTATATGATAGGATGTAGACAGTTATATGATAGGATGTAGACAGTTATATGATAGGATGTAGACAGTTATAGGATAGGATGTAAAGAGTTATATGATAGGATGTAGACAGTTATATGATAGAATGTTGACAGTTATATGATGTAAACAGTTATAGGATGTAGACAGTTATATGATATAGACAGTTATATGATAGGATGTAGACAGTTATATGATGTAAACAGTTATAGGATGTAGACAGTTATATGATGTAGACAGTTATATGATAGAATGTTGACAGTTATATGATGTAAACAGTTATAGGATGTAGACAGTTATATGATATAGACAGTTATATGATAGGATGTAGACAGTTATATGATAGAATGTTGACAGTTATATGATGTAAACAGTTATAGGATGTAGACAGTTATATGATGTAGACAGTTATATGATGTAGACAGTTATATGATATGATGTAGACAGTTATATGATGTAGACAGTTATATGATGTAGACAGTTATATAATGTAGACAGTAATATGATGTAGACAGTTATATGATAGTAGACAGTTAATATGATAGGATGTAGACAGTTATATGATATGTAGAGACAGTTATATGATGTAGACAGTTATATGATAGGATGTAGACAGTTATATGATGTAGACAGTTATATGATGTAGACAGTAATATGATAGGATGTAGACAGTTATATGATAGGATGTTGACAGTTATATGATGTAAACAGTTATATGATGTAGACAGTTATATGATGTAGACAGTTATATGATAGGATGTAGACAGTTAGGATCTATACAGTTATATGATATGATGTAGACAGTTATATGATGTAGACAGTTATATAATATGATGTAGACAGTTATATGATATGATGTAGACAGTTATATGATGTAGACAGTTATATGATGTAGACAGTTATATGATAGGATGTAGACAGTTATATGATGTAGACAGTTATATGATAGGATGTAGACAGTTATATGATATGATGTAGACAGTTATATGATAGGATGTAGACAGCTATATGATATGATGTAGACAGTTATATGCTGTAGACAGTTATATGATAGGATGTAGACAGTTATATGATAGGATGTAGACAGTTATATGATATGATGTAGACAGTTATATGATGTAGACAGTTATATGATGTAGACAG